CACGAAAACTATAATGGCAGTAAGTAGTTATGTTTAACACAAAATTCTCATCGTGTCCGTACAATACACGTATTCGTAGCCAAATGTATTTCGTATTTTAAAAGATAATTATGTTACGAACTGACGGTGGTGGCTGTCGCTGGGACTAAAAAAATCCCGACGATATAAGTATAATGGGATTTCAGTGTACAAACCTTTTTAGGGGAAAAAAAGAATCATAACACTTCGGGACGCCGCTGCGTGTACATCTATCTACTCTAACTACAACATAACAATATTAACTCTATAGTTATATTGTACACGTTATTCTCCTTGATTATTATTGTTTTAACTTTAAACAATTCAAAGAGATCGTACGTAAAGTGGAATATCAGATAGATCAATATTTTTGGGCACAGTGTTCAGCATTATCTAGTTGAAAGAATCTGTTTGAAATCCTATTAATGATTAAATCTATACTAGCTATGCAAAAAACTATTCATAACATGTATACAACGTATTTTTTCGTCATATATTTTGTAAATTTTGTTGGTGACGTACCGTTTTTTATTTTTTTTTCTCTAATATTCTTCGAAGAGATTTATTCCTCGAGGATTAATAAATAATCTATAATTTGGATACATTTTATCCGTTTTTAAATTAATTACAATTTGAATAAATATAGAATTCAAAAAATCCTCAACGATTGTTTTTTTTTTTTTTTTTTTTACCTAATTTATTAATTTGATTACTAAAAATTCTTGATTTTTTCCTTTATATTATAAAACTGAGTACCACTAGGACACGAATTCGATTGTATTTAATATATAATATATAACTATAGAATTTAGTGGCGCATTATTTGTATTTTTTTTTTGTTTTGATTTTCAAATGTTTCAAAAAAAAAAAATATGTTTTTTTAAACAATAGTTTAAATGTTTATAGTATTTGTTAATAAGTTCGCTAAACATAAATTATGAATTTTTTTTTTCTTTTAATACGATAATCTTGATTATCAATTAATACACAGCTTATGTTTACCTATCCAGTTATAAGATTCAGTATTTGAAAATTTATACCATCGACATTATAATAAATAACTATTGAAGTTGATAATCTTTGGGATAGGTTTTGCATTAATTTTTAATATTAGATGTTTTATTTTCTAATCATTAAGGACGCGTATGAATTTATTAGCAATATGAGACAGTTTTTATGCCTCGAAGAAATCTTGCCTACAATATGTTAATAACATGTTTGTGCACTTTTGGTTTTCCATTCAGTATTTTCATTACGAAATACTTTCATTAACTAACTCGTATTCCAAGCAGCATATGGTTGATAAGTATAAAATTTCTCTTTTCAGGTAGGTATACGTATTCATTTTTAAGGAAGACAAAACTTAAAAGTAAAACATTGTGAAAGTTGTTGGTATTTTATATATCTGAGTTTTTTTTTTTGTAAGAATGAAATATTTCACCACAGCATACTATTATTATCATTGTAAATCTCATCATCTAAAATGATTGTAAAGTTTACTTACGTATTTTCGGATATATTCTAATTATTAAAAATTTTTATTACACCTCATTAACTTAGTTGAGCTATCTATTTTTTTTTTTTTTTTTTTTTGTTTCCATCCTTAGATACCTTTTCTTGTTGTGTCTTAAACGAAATTCAATATTTCATACAAGATTCAACTGTTCCTGCAATATGTGATCCACGAACAGTATAAGTAAATCATAACTTTTCTGGCTGAAAGCCCTATCGGGCGTACGCGATAACAATGCCGTTACGTTATTATACTTTACCTATAAATAATTAAAAGTGTACATAAGCTCACATTATACAACATAAAGTATTATTTTTCTGAACTGCACCGAAATCAAGACCGTAAGACAATTTCTCTGTTCGTAACCAAACACTATCTAGAAAAAAAAATTTTAAATCGGGGGTTCTTGAATTCCAATCGATTAACACGGTTTTATTCCAGACCAAAAGCGTTAAATTTGTAATGATATACTCCGAGAAAATATCTATAGATAGAAGAAGGTGTACAGTTTTAAAAAAATCGGATTTGCGCTGTAGGTCGATTTATTTTACGGTCACAAGTCGGTTTTCGCGTGCACTCGGATTGCTACGCTATCATTCACGATGCGTTTGAATTTAAACGGTGTACACGATGAGCTAAAAACATACTTCGATTTCGAGGTTTTCGTGTCGAAATCAGTTCAATAATTATTTACGAACAAACTCGTGTTCGTACAAACCATGTTTTCATAGGTGCAGATAATCCGCAGTGGGAGAAGAGTGACGTTGGTCGCTTTCGATATTTTCCCAAGCTCGTTAAACTAATGTTCTAAACATTATGATGTAAACACTTTCAATGCCGCGGTTCAGTTGTTTTTGTCGAGATTAAAATAATAAGCCTTGTAAACGTGGTTCCATATCCGCTTGTTAATATCGATTTACGATTTAATAAACTAATCATGTTCACGAGAAAATAATGATATTATATAAGTTTATATTATAATGAGATTCATGTGTTTAAGTTTTTTTTTTTTTTTAATAACATGAAATATCTACGGAGAATGATAAAGACCTTCGAGAAAGATAATAACAAAATAGTCTTGTGTTTGATCGCCTCATAATTCCCAAGAAAATGTAATTACGTATTTAGGTAACTTCGTTCAGTGAAACAAATTGTTTAACTCGGTAGCGCCTAAATCCTAAATATTTAGTCGGACGAAAAATATTTAAAAAAGTTACAATATCTAAATATTGAATCCAACGGCATACCGATAGGTGGGAAGCAATGGTTACTACCCAAAATAAATTAAAGTTAGGCTTTCGATTTTGTAATGAAACTTTTATACGGTTTTGACAGTCAAATTTCGGCCCCATAGGTTAGGTTAGGTTAGGTTAGCTTCCGTTTTAAACGTTCAAAAGATGTCGGACAACGTCTCCGATCTCGGTATAAGGTTCGGCGCCACTGGTCCAGCTAGGAATAAAAAACTTATAAATATAAATGCTGTAATGCAAAAAAATACAATATAATTTTTTTTACTTGCCGTACGTAATTCAGTATTAGTATGACATCTTACAGTGAGTTTTCCAAGCAACGCAGTCCGAAGTGTTTGACCACGAGAGAGCGTTACATTAACCAGTCTATGTAATTTTGCCACACCACATTTTGCATGCACAGATAGTGCCACCATGTATGTTTTACACCCCGGGGCGGCTAACAGGTCGATCACGATTCCTTTCTATTAATTTTTTTTCAGATACAATATTATCTAAATACTAAAATTATTTATTTCTTGTACATTTTTACATTTTCGTTCAACCCACGAGTATAAAAATTGGATTAATAACAATTAATAAAGGCAATATATAGTAATAATATACACTAATAAATTACTACGAAAAACGAAATTATTCAGTGAAATTGAGTACTACCAGGGGCTGCCGAACGGTCGATCGCAAACGATTTCAAAATCGATCGTGTTAAAATTTATTTTCAAGCACCGCTCACGAAAATTATGGATAATTAGCAATAATAAGAAAAAATTTTTATGGAAGTCGATCCTCAAAGGTGAAGTATATTTTTAGTAGATGGGGGCCAAAAAAAAGTTTATCCGTCCCTGCTATGTATTATACTATGCAGTGCCGTATTTAGACATTTGGTGCCCCGGCGCAAAAAAAAAAAAAAAAAAATTGGCGCTTCTCTAAGGGGCCTGCCCACGGAAAATATAGGAGATAGATCCTCGTGAACCTTTTAGATATTCTAAAATCATTGCTATTTTTGTGTAGTAGGCATGCTATCGCACACCGCACGCGATAACATAATACGTCGTATTATTATAAATAACTTATGTTTATTGACATTATCAAAAAAAATTTGGGAACTATTATTAGGTATATTAATAATAGATCGCTGATAGCTATAAATACATTAATATTGTTTTATGATACTGTTATTAAAAATAAAAATAAATAATTTTAAAAGTTCAATAATTCACAAGTGAGTAAATTTCCGACCACAACATTTTGGCCCCCCCAAAAAACTGGCGCCTGGGACAATTGTAGCCAGTGCCCCACTAATTGCGGTCCTGATACTATGTACGTGTATTGTACGTAATCTAATGGATATTCTATACGTATTGAATAACGGTCTTTATCGAGTTCGTACAAATAGATAGAAAATGCATTAAAATAGTATTACGAGTATTATTATTTATATAGTATTATTCGTATGTTAAATTGTAAAATTAAAGTTATTATTACTTATTAATACTTTGAATAGAAGAAATGAATAAAGGGATGCATAGATATTAGATGTATTTGTGCTCAATGACAATAATTTTCTTATTTTTGATCGATCGTAACAGTCTGAAAAAACAATATTTTGTAAGTTATGAGTTTGCAATGAAGAAAAATCACAACATAAACATCACAATATTCTTTGTAAAATATTACTTGATCTGAGTTCATTTTCATAAAACACTCGGAAACGAACGCATCCTTAGAGGTCTGTTTTCGGTAATTTTTCTACCGAAACGATCGAAATAGACGGATTGCATTGTATCGTTTAGTAATGCGCGTCCGATCGACGATATCGATTTCAATGTCGTTCACGTGGTTACGCGTCGGTTACTGGAACCGATACGATGACGTCTTCGCACCGTATCATCGACCTGAACTCGTTCGAAAACGTTTGCGCTCGACGTACGCATTACGACTTGCCGATGGCGCGAACGGGCGACGTAGGCCACAGTGAGAAATCGATGAATTGATTTAAGTACGTTAACTAACCCGACCACCTGGGTATCATGAAACTTGTTGTGAAGGTCTTCCAGAACGTTCTCGAAAATTGCCTACTGCTGCGCACGCGGTGAACCGCTTTCTCCCGGCGCTTTCGACCTTCGTTTTCGTTTCTCTGTCTATCTCTCTCCCTCTTGTCCTGCCACCGAATCGGATCGAATAGATCGCTAACACGTTGATTTATCGTTTTTTTACAGGTGCTCGGGCCACTGCTGTTGGTGACGATGTTCGCGTTGTCGGCGCGTGGCATCCCGGTGAACAGACGGCAATCTGAACTGGACTCGGCGGTGGACGGCGTGCAAAAGTACCTCGAGTCGTCGGGGTTCCCGAAGATGACGCGCGGTGAGGTGATGGAGTTCCTGAACGACTTTTCGCGCAACTCACGTGTTAGCCGTTCGGACAACACGGGCAAGGAACGATCGATCGCGCCGACCGAGACTAGGAAAACGGTGTCGGACGGTAAGCAAACGGCTAGGCCGAAGTTCCCGGAAGGTGAGTCGCCGTTGAACTACGGATACCCGATGAGCGCTCTCGGGGTCGTCAGCTCGTCCACCACCACCTCCACTACTACCACCACTACAACCGCCACCGATCCGACGACGACGACGACGCAAATGACTTTCGTGACGGTACCGCCGGTGAAAGCGGCGCAACCGCAGTGGAAAAAGAAGACGGTCGGGCCGTCGGTGGACGTGACGGCGTATTCCAAGTTCAAGAAGATACCCGAGGCGAGGAACGTGAAAATCGACGACGAAATGACCGAGTTCCTGGGGGGTTTCGGGTTGCTGGACGCGCCGTCCAGCAAACGGGGCAGCGGATCGGTGGACGCGGCGCGGAGGCGCGACGACGGTTTGACCGAGACGACAGCGGACGAGCTGCTGCTGCGGTCGTTGCTGGCCGAGACGGGTACCTCCACGAACGGCACCGCCCAAGCGTCCACGCCGGTGCTCGACGCCGGCGGCGTTCGGCGGTCGACGACCGCGGGCCGCGGCCACGTGTTCAACCCGTCCGACTCGGACTTGAAGACGGTGGACGTGAACCGCATAGCGAAGATCGTGGAGAACATACGGCTGCTGGCGGACGGCAACGACACCGCGTCCCTGTCCCAGGACGCGATACGCACCAAGCTGGAGAACATCACGGCCGACATAGCCACCATTGACCGACCGGTCGCGTCCACGGTGTCCGCGAGCGACCAGAGCTTCGACGGGTACCAAGTGTTCTTTGACGACGACACCAAGCAGGCTGAACCAGACGATCTGCCGGTGACGCCGAATGCGGCCGCCGCGGCCTCGCTCGCCACGGTCACGCTAGATAGCACGGGCAGCCCACCGGACCCGCTGTCCACGGACGAGCTGCAGCAGCTGGTGGAAAAGAACAAGAACGACGTGAAGCGCCAGCAGCCGGCGGCCACGACAACGGCCGCGATGGCCAACGAGCAGCCTGCGACCACTACGGTCACGGACGATCCCGTGGCTGCGTCCACGTCGTCTGAAGCGGTGCGCGCACAGTCGTTCACGGACTCGTCGGAAGCCGTCGCGACGGGCATGTCGACGGCCGCCGGGGCCCGGGACGTGTCCACCACCGAGGCCAGCCCCAGCTTATCACAACTGGCCGAGTCATTTGGTGGCGGCGAAACGGCCAGCAGCGACCCACCAACCGCGTTCGAGACCGAAGCGCCCAGGATGGACCGACCGCGCAACGGGCTGTACTTCTACGTGGACTGGAACTCGTTCCTGACCGTCAACGAGGGCCAGAAGAACCAAGTGAACTTGAGGTTCGCCCCAAAGGCCGGCAACCCGGCGCACTTCCTCAAGGTCACCGTGCCCTGATTGTGCCTTCGGCCCTTCATGGCGCACCGTTAAATTATTCTGCACCGTCTCCAGTATCTAATTATTATCGATCGTATTTATGCGCGCATGCGATGATTTATTCCGCGTTGACTTCGTCGACGACGATCGTACCTATTTATTATTATTATTATTTTTCTTTGTAAATATAGTTTTAGTTTTAAATACTGTAAACAAAAACCCCTTTCTTTTTTTTTTTTTAAGTAACCAAACAACTTTAAATATTCATGCGTTCCCGTTCGATTTGATTTTTTTCTTTTTCCCTGCGCGGAATAATTGTACGGGTCTACGAACAAAAAAAATTTAACGAATCGTGCAAGTTTGAGTGATGCCACCCCCGCGAAATTTTTCCGGTTTCCAGACGCCACTCGAAATTTCCTTTTGAAATTTTACCACCTATGAAACGCGCACGGCAAAAAAGTGTACCAAGCTAATGCCCTACAGACAAACGCGTTCGCGCGATAAGTGCTAAGCCTCCATTGAAATGTTTTTTCAATTCGCCCCTGGGGTTCGAAACACGCTCCGCCCACGTCGGCGCCGAGTAACGATTTTTCTTCTTCTATTTCGCGTGCCCATTAGTAATTATTATTATATTCACATCAATTATAACACTAATGAGACCCCGAAAACTGGGGAGAAAAATAAAGTCGCATGTATTCCATGCACTTACCGTACGCGACGCGTTGTTTTGTACGGCGCAATCGTTGCGAGACGAACATTACATAATTATTTTCGAATAATATTTTACACGCAGGTTCTTACTTTGAAATTCGTATATCGGTGATTTTTTTTTCACTCGATTCTACACGGCCCCGTAACGTGCGAAAACCTATATTAGAGTTATCAGTTTCACGTGTTTATCGAATTGTTCGGCGACTTATCCAGCGCGATACAAATTTCTCGTTTGACATTCTGCGTCATATTTTGCTCGCCCTTGTCCTTCGTAAAATATGTGATAAACCGTCCGTTTTCAAATACCCACAAACCGTTTTGACTTTAAACACCGACGGAGATCGTTTTGTTTCTAGTGGTGATGGGTAAAAATGACGGTAACAGTGACTAATAACGGTTACGAATCGAGTAGCAATTACAGTCCGTTACTCGAATGAAAAAATAACAGACACAAATGTAATAACGGCGCTTAAGTTTGCGAGGCCTTGCGGAAAATTAATTTTTGGGTCTTATGATTTTTATTAATAAAATATTTTAAGTTCAGTTAAATCTGAGCACAATTAACTGAAATTATTTCAGAACTGCGGGGCCCTGGGCAACTGCCTCTATTGCCCCCACCCTCGAGCCGTCCCTCACTTACAATATTAATCGTAATTCACAGTAGGTTCACATGTATTTTGAGAGGGACAAATTTTACCACCTCTAAGTGTCTGCATAAGTACTTATGCATATAAGTATATATATAGCATATGCTATGTACATAGCGTACCGACATTGGTACAGTTGTCTCTATTTTTTTAACAATAATAATTTATAACAGTTACCAAAATCGATAACAGGTTACCATAATTAGTTTCTACGCATGTGCATTTCTTACCGTATAAACGGTTTCTTAATTATAACTAGGTATAGGTAAGGTTCGAATCGGAGAAATTATAACGATTTCAATAATATAATGTAAATATAAATCTTAGACTCTACTTAGAGTTATTTTTCTCGGCCCGTCTTGACTTCGTGGTTTTATTTGTACACACTGATAAGGCAAAAAAAAAAATCAATATATCTCCTAGGTTTTAAGATTACCATCATGCTGAACGGTGTGTAAGCCAGTGAATGTTTTTTATTAACTGTTCGGGACGTGAAAAACGATTTTTACCGCCATTGTACAGAACAACATGGTAAAAATAAATATTTTCTACGCACAAACCACTTACAAACTTTTCAGTCTAGTTCCTTTGAAAGCGGTCACAACCGTATGAAATGTATGTATTCCTTTGCGTGCGCGCATGATTCGTTATAGTCGTGTTTGGGCATGTGCGTGTGTGTAGGCACAACTGTTTAAAACATTATACCTACACGGTTTGCAAGAAGCAAAAACAAACATAGGTACGCAGCTGAATTCAGAAACTGGCAGCAGCCACGAACGTGTCTTGACCGATTTTCAATGAATCCTTGAGTAAATCTTAGTTTCCTTGTTCATTCGTTTAATATTCGTATAAATGCACCGCTGTAGTAAAGTTCCGGAGCTATAAAATCATATTGCTTACATATTACAAAACCGAATAACAATGTTAAACTTTTAATTTTAAAACATGAAAAACATCTAATAAATCGAAACAAATTAAAGTTCTTGCTTTTTATGATGAAGGTCATATGACTAACTTATTTTAAGGTAAGTATATATCGTTCTTGATTGTAAAAAAAATAATAAAACCTTAGTTTCAAGATAACATTTTAAATGAGTTATTTTAAATTCATTAAAATCAATCATGCTTCCGTAAAAATTGCATATTTTAAATGTGAAACTTTAATTTTATACAGAGAATAATACTCTGAAATATTTTACTTAAAAAATGACATATTCTAGTATCAAAGAAGAAAAACGTTTATCAAATCGCATATTAATCGAATATAAAAATTAGAGTGTATTGTGTCTACGGGAATATTTTGTGAATATATATTTGTGAATAATATGATATATTCATTTTCTAAATACATTTCCTAAAATATTAAGAATAAGTTTTTGTTTCAGTGATGAAAATAAGTAATTTGGGGGTGACCAACTTGCGGCTCGAGAGCCACATGTAACTCTCGTCTTTGTCAGACGCGACTTGCGTTTTATTCATAAGATTAAAATAAACTTATTGTATTGTTATTATTTTTAATTTTAATTTTTTACTTATATGTTTAGGTATAAAAAAATGATAAAATTATTTAAAAATGATCTATAAACATTTTAGCTCTTAGAATTATTGTACGTGTGTGTTTGGCACGCGAACCTATTCATGTTGGCCACCACTGAAGTAATTATTTATTTAAATAATATTATTAACGGATATGATTGTTTAAAATCTTTTAAATAAAATACAAATTTATTAAACCTCAACAATCAAAATCAATACCATATATTGTTGTATACATCCATGTACATGAATTAAAATATAGTAGATTGAATACCGAACTCTAACCACTCTGTATTTTATTTAAACATCTATATAATATTCAGTTTTTGTTAAGAACTAATAACTTAGTTAGTCAAACCGGTATTATGTATGACTAACCCATCTATTTGATTTTTCCCAACGGTTTATTACTTTTTCTCATGATTTTTACCATTAGAAGGAAATGCGGTTAATATAAATCATACTCGGTGGGTTAGGTAATAGGTTAAAGTGTTGTGTCCGATGTGCAACACAAAAGATGAAAGTTTCTATTAGTAAAAAAGCACCGACGTTGGACTGCGATCAAAAAGCTTTTACGAATTATTCTGATGGTTTTTCAAATACTTTTCTGAGAATGTGATGTAAGAAATAAAAATGTGTGTAAAAAAAGGAATAAAAGATGAACAATTTCAAACCCTTCATCACAATCGGAGTGCCATTAGTGTGATATTTCTACAATTGAATAAAACCATTCAGACATCAAATGCCACCAACATTATGTAATTTCAAGTTTAGAATGCATTTGAGATGTTTTCGAGAAGTTTTTTTTATAGTGAAGTTGACATTATTTTCACTCCGTTTATGTTGTTGAAAACGAAAGTACACACTTTTGGCTTCGTTTTCAACCAATTTTGAATATGAATGAATATTTCCTTAATGTTCTCAAAATAACATTTCATTTATCTAAATTTAATGTAAAATTATTTAGTATTATGCATTCATTATTCTCAAAACTAAATTCTATCTAAATGTTATAACACAATAAAAATTAAATTATTTATAGTATATAGCAGGGATTCCCAACCACTGTGCCGTGGCACACAAGTGTGCCGCGAAATCATTCAGGTGTGCCGTATAATTTTTGTAATTTTATAATTTTTTAAGCATAACTAAATATGATAGTCAAAATTATAATTTATATTTATGATAGCATTGACTTCAAAATTCCCTTGAAAATAAAAAATGATAAAAAGTCCTGATAAAACAGCTATAATATTATATGGGATCCTATACTACCCGATACGGGTATTACAAACAGTTGCGTTGACTTTTACCACATACTAAAATTATTACATGAAAACATAGCCGGTGCTCATTATAATGAAAATTGAGCGCGTGTAATTGTTACGTATTATACTGTATAGGTATTTTGATCAAGAAATATTGTAAGTTAAATTTAAAAATGGATAGGTTTTAAAAAAAAGCATAAATTAACAGATGACAGTGATGTTAGTGCAAATGACAACAATTTAAATATTCAAATTAATATTAAACAATCAGCTTTAATAAGTGATAAAAGTTTAAATTTAAAAATTAAAAGTTAATATGTTGATAATTATTTATGTTTTAGATTTACTTGGAATGGTGACATTGATTATCCTTTAACAGTTTGTATCGTTTCAACTGTTTCACCCGTAATAGAGGAATTATGTAAAAAACACCAGTCTCAAATGTCAAATTAAATTTGTATTATATATATTATATTAATATAATTATTTTATAGTACATTATATATAATTATGATATTATGTATATTTATTATTATTTATTTAAGTGTGCTGTGGAAATTTTTAAAATGATCAAGTGTGCCATTAAGTAAAAAAAGGTTGGGAATCCCTGGTATATAGTATAGTTATATGAATTACGCTGTTTACACTTTAGATGATTTCGAAAAATAAATTTATTTTTTATGCGAAACGTTGGTTACAACGATTCAAAACAAATTTTTTCAACATGTTTTCACTCCCCAATCAAACTTCAAATGAAGGAATTACCGTCATGAAAATTTAAATCAAAGACGAATTCAACAGTAAAACACCATTTAAAAAATTAACTCTATACTATTTTTAGGTGGGCAATCGACAATTTATTTGAATCTCACTAACCAGTATATATAGATTAACAACCAATGGTTGAACAAATGAACTATAAACTATATACTCTTTTTCTTCTTTTTCTTTTTCTCCATCGCCTTTCTCCCAACTATTTGGAGTCGGCCATCATATTCTTTTTAATAAAGTCGTTTCTCTTTATTGGGCGTATTAATTTGTTAAATATGCAATCTAT